GCACAAGGTGGATCCTTCTGGTCAATCACATCCTTTGGCACCTTTCGCCCTTGGGGAAAGTTTGCCCTTAACTTCTGTATAGAGCTTCAGGGGAGCAACTTGCTCACAGTACTGGCACCCAATGGCTTCTACATGCGAGCTGACAGAAGTGGCACCCTATTGGCAGACAGTGAAGACATTACCAAAGAGTGTATCTGGGAATTTTAGGTAAGGGGGAGTGGATAAGGGCCTGTGGGCTGGGGGAGCAGGAGCTGAGAGGAAAGGGATGGGTGGGGAGACGTGATGGTAAGACCAAAATGTACTCCCAGGCTCACTTCTGTCCCACAGTCTGATCACCTCCAGACATTTATTCCAAATTTGTGCTGTTCTTTGTGGGCTTCTAAACTTGGACTTGCTAGAGAGGGGAGAAGAAATGGGACCTAGGTTTCTTGCTAGGCCCACACTGACACGTGTGGCTTGCAAGCAAGCCTGGAAGGGACAGGGTGAGGTGAACTCTCTCTCTGTTAAGATCTAGAAGTTTACCCTACTTTTAGAGAAAACAGGTGACTTTGAGGATGTGTGTAGGTGAAAAAAAGATGCAATTTCTACCTATGCACTTTCTATCCCTAGCCCCCTGGATCCCTGGGGTACTGATGGCTCTCACATATTTATTTTCAGCCTTCACCCTTCTCCTGAGTTCTAACTTCATCCTTCTCCAACTTCCTGATAGACAGTTGACTTGCCTTCATCCTGCCAGTGCCTTGAAATCAGCAGAGCTGAAATCAGCCTCTCGTGCTCCCCTCCTCAGGTGATTCTCTTCTTTCTGCCATCCCCAGGGCCAGCTCGGGCATTCCATTCTCCCAGATGTCCAGACTCAAGCCTGCAGCACCATGTCTCCATCCTCCCTTTCCTTCCCTTCATCGAACCCTGTACACTCTTGGACTCTTCCTTGACAGTACCTGTCGAGTGCTTGCTCCTTCGTAATTACCATTGCCACCACCTGGCTCTCGGGTTTTCCCCTAAAGCCTGCACTGCTTCCAGGGCTCCCCAGCAGCGCTCCCTGCTGCCAGACTGTCCCCATCCAATCTCTTCTCCACATCATTTGCTTTCCTAACACGCTGCTTCCCTTTCATCGTTCCCCATTCACAACTCTTTGGGGCACATCATTGCTCTTAGCCCTGTCCCCTTACAATTGACCTTGCTTTCCTGGCTCAGAAAGTTACAAGGATGTTGTAGAAAACACTTCAGTTTTGATATCAGACTTGGAATCAAGAGCTAGTAAGCTTTGGTCCTTACTAGCTCTGTGACCTTGGGGAAATTGCTTTGACATTTCAAGGCCTTGGTTTCCTTATCCATAAAACAGGAACAATAGCTACTTCATAGGTGTTGTGAAGGTTAAATGATAATCTGAATCCAAATATAGATCCTCAAGTATGCTCACTCCTTTCTTTCCCCAGTCTTCTACCGGTTTTCTACACAAACCCTTTACTATGGCTAAACTGAGAAAACTAAAATGAAATTCCACTGGGCCTCAGTTTTTTTCTTTCTTTCTTTCCTTTTTTTTTTTAAAAAAAATCTATTCATAAAACTAAAATGAAATTCCACTGGGCCTCAGTTTTTTTCTTTCTTTCTTTCCTTTTTTTTTTAAAAAAAATCTATTCATGGCTGGCCTGTGGCTCACTCGGTAGAGTGCGGTGCTGATAACACCAAGGCCACGGGTTCAGATCCCATATAGGGATGGCCGGTTCGCTCACTGGCTGAGCGTGGTGCTGACAACACCAAATCGAGGGTTAAGATCCCCTTACTGGTCATCTAAATAAATAAATAAATAAATAAATAAATAAAAAATAAATAAATAAATAAATATCTATTCCATGAAGAGTTTGGATTGAACTAAATTTCTCAGGCTCCTTCCAAGTCTGACATTCTAGTAGACAGTGTATTATAGTGGTTAAGAGCTCATTTCTAGACTCAGACCTGGGTTCTAATTAGGTTTTTATTAGTTAAACTTGTTGTCTGACCTTGAGAAAATGAGCTTCTCAAAGCATGTTTCTTGTGAGTGAAATGGGAAGAGGGTATCTATCTTGTAGGATTGTTGTGATGATTACATGGACAATGAATGTAAAATGCTTGGTAAATAGCATGACACCTAGTACACTCTGATGTTATCAGAAGTCTTCTCTAATCCGGATCAAATTCTCAGTAAATCTTTCCTGTTCACTGCAGTCTCCCTCTCAACTCTGATGGGAGGATTTTTTTGCACCATTAATTTGATTTTTTAAATAATTTTTCTGCCTTTTCCTATAAATTAACTTCACACAAGTCAAGAATGAGACAAATCACTTTATTCTCTCTCCTCCCCTAGATCAGCAAATGACTGACTGCTAAAGATTTCTGTTTTCTCTTCCCTCCCCAGGTCAATGGGATGCCACCTACTAAAATCTAAATCCTCCAGGAAAAACTACTGCACTAAACAGAACAGGAACCCCAGAGTCAAGATCCAAGAAAAGAATATCTGTTGCACAACTTTTCCTACCCAGTTTAGCAAAATACCTGTTTCTAGCAACAATACATCACCATGGGCCACCCCCAAGATCCTTGTGTGCATCTTTTTTTTTTTTTAAAGATGACCAGTAAGGGGATCTCAGCCCTTGGCTTGGTGCTATCAGCGCCACACTCAGCCAGTGAGCTAACCGGCCATCCCTATATAGGATCCGAACCCGTGGCTTTGGTGTTATCAGCTCCGCACTCTCCTGAGTGAGCCACGGGCCGGCCCCTTGTGTGCATCTTTTTTTTTTTTTAAAGATGACCAGTAAGGGGATCTCAGCCCTTGACTTGGTGTTGTCAGCGCCACACTCAGCCAGTGAGCCAACCAGCCATCCCTATATAGGATCCGAACCCGTGGCTTTGGTGTTATCAGCACCGCACTCTCCTGAGTGAGCCACGGGCCGGCCCCTTGTGTGCATCTTTTTTTTTTTTTAAAGATGACCAGTAAGGGGATCTCAGCCCTCGACTTGGTGTTGTCAGCGCCACACTCAGCCAGTGAGCCAACCAGCCATCCCTATATAGGATCCGAACCCGTGGCTTTGGTGTTATCAGCACCGCACTCTCCTGAGTGAGCCACGGGCCGGCCCCTTGTGTGCATCTTGACTCTGTATAGAGGAGGGGTCTGGATGAGGGTGGAGACTGAGGCCCCAGGCTGCTCTAAGTTTTATCCAGGAGAGGGAAGACCAAATAGTGACCAGGTCTTCCACTATTCCCCCCTGTCACCACCCAGACCACTAGACTTTTCCCAGTGACCCCATGAGGAGTCAGCCTGGCCCAGCAGGATTCAAAAATCCAGATGTGACTTTAAATGTCCCTTTAGTCTAGAAAAATTAAGGATTGTTAATCTCATGGGCATAGGGTAATGGCAATAACACCTTATGCCTATATAGCCCACCCTCTCACCATCCCCTACCACAGTTTACCAAACTTCTCCACTCTAGCATCACCTTTGATCCAGTAAGGTGGGTACTTCCTCTATCACTTCTCATCTTATGCAGGGAGCTGAAGTGATTTGCCCAAAGTGCCATGACTCACAAAACAGAGCTAGGCCTCTGACTCGTCTCCTGACTCTAGTGTCCACTATTCTTTCCATCAAAGCTGGACTTCCAAAATGTCTGTCATTCTTGCACTGTCTTCATGATTTTGACCTTTGTCTACCTACCATCTGCTCTATCAATGTTTTTATTGACAGAGATTCTTAAATAGTCTTAAATTTAGAAAGGAAGATTTTTATCACTATCATAAAATGAAAAACCAGAATCACTTGCCATAAATAGAAAGTGACCATAAAAATAAATACAATGAAAACAAAGTATTGTTATCAAATCCTAGTTAGAGTTCCCTTCCCTTCTGGCCAAGGCTCAGAATCTGAGGTTCCCTGTCCCTTTGTTAAAAAAAGGAGAACAGCAAGTGTTAAAGAAGGACTGGAGGGCCGGCCCTGTGACTCACTTGGGAGAGTGCGGCGCTGGTAGTGCCGAGGCTGCAGGTTCGGATCCTATATAGGGATGGCCGCTGCACTCGCAGGCTGAGCGTGGTGCGGACAACACCATGCCGAGGGTTGCGCTCCCCTTACCAGTCAGAAAAACCTAGAGACTAGGACCAAAATGACACTTTCTCTTTGATGCAATCAGAATAGAAAGGGAGTGGAAAAGGGAATAATTTTCTCACTTCTGACTCATTATTTAAGGCAGTATCCACATGCCTCCTAAAATGCTCTCAAATACCGACAGTGATGCCTGTCCCCCGTTTTGGGTAAATTGCCCCAAATGAATGCCAGATATTTAAATTCATTGAGAAGACTGAAACTGGAACACAAGAGAGATTCGGTTTGACTAGAGGAAAATGACTTTAAGTTTTTGTAAGTATATTTCTCCACAAGAGATATAAGATAATTTAAAAGAATTATTTAATCCAATAGGTGACAGGTGAAGTTTGAAAATATTAGACTAAGGCATCTCCTTTCCTAGAGAACATTAAGAACAGGCCAAGGATGTGCAGTGCGATACACTCTTCAGAGAGCGAGGACCTTGGAGGTCATTTAATGCAGAATCTCTTCCTTAGCATTCCATAAATACATAGACACACTCAGATGTGTGGGCATGAGTGTGCACGCATGTGCACACACACACATGCGATCTTATGCCCGGTTCCCAACAAGTGGCCAGCTGTCCTTTGCTTGAATGTGCTCAGCCATGGGCTGGGCTGAGACAACTCCTTCTATCACCAATGTTGGTTCTGTGGCTGAAGTGAATGGCTTGTTTTCAGACAATGCTGTACAGATTGTCCCCCCATATTGGATACATACATATATATGTAGATGATAGATAGATAGATAGATAGATATGACAGGGCAAACTGTTTATAATTGTTAAGTATAGGAGTGGGTATATGGGTGCTCATGGGAAAAAACATAGTGGACAACAGAAACTACTGCTAATAAAAAAATGTTTTTATTACTGCTGAGTGGAGGCTTCTTAAGGCCAGTGTGAGAAGTGGGTGGGTGTCGCTTCTCTGGCCTGTCCAGTCAGAGGATGCACAGGAGGGGCAGTGAGCCAGGGCCAGGTCAGGTCTACACACGAGGGAGAAACCACAGGAAGGAGGAAGGAGCAACAATCTGCATGGGCAGATGCCAAAGACAATGGGCAGGACGGTGTTAGATCCTCCCTACCCCATCTCCTTCCCACTCTGGGCCTCTTGCCTCATTCCAGGCTTTCCAACAGTGGGGAGCCAGGCCAGAGCAGCGCCTGAGGGGCACCAAAAGACAATGGGCAGGACGGTGTTAGATCCTCCCTACCCCATCTCCTTCCCACTCTGGGCCTCTGGCCTCATTCCAGGCTTTCCAACAGTGGGGAGCCAGGCCAGAGCAGCGCCTGAGGGGCACCAAGACTGCCAGTGGGAGCCGTGGGAAGAAAGGCAAGAAAGAAAAGCAGCACTGAATTCGGGGAGCTCAGCTGTGAGTCAAGCAGCCTGCAGGGTCAGAGGGGAGCTTGGGCTTCTTGCTGCCACCCACCCCTCAAAATCACTTAGGGGGAGGGACTGAGACATTAGTTCCCCGCCCTAGATATGCACACTCAAATCCCAGTCCCACCCCCTTTAAATGAGTACTATACACTCAGTGGGTACTAGTCTCCCCAATTTGTGAACAATGCAAGGAATGGGGAAAGCTGTATTGAGGTTTAGTGACCCAAACTGGAGATCCACACCCTCTTGTGGGTCAAGGAGCCAATCAGCCCTCCCCATACCCTGCAGGATTGAGACCTGGCCTGAATTCTTACCCCAGCAGGGCTTGAAACAGGCTTGGGGCGGAGTGTCACTCAGACACCTATCTGGCGCTGTCTGCCAGCACAGCTGACAGCAGGAGGGACTCAATGGCTCCAGGGCAGGCAGGGCTGCTGTGGGCACACTGCCAAGGTACTGCAAGAAAAAGCAAGAGGAGACCCTCAGCTGCCAGTGAGGCCACCTGTTGAGAAGGCCTGGGACTCCAGGGCTGCCTGCCACCCAAACTGTATCCTGCACAACTTCAGAGGATGCCACACACATAGCAGACCATAGAAGTGTGCACTGTTGGGACCTTAGGGAGTTGTGGATCCTAGCTGAGGCCATCACCAGAAATGGGAGAGTCAGCCAGCCCTTCAGTCTTCCCAGTTCACAAACTCCCTCGCCTCCTGAGTACCTGTGCAGAGACAATCTCTGAGGAAACCCTTGGCACAGTTGGACGCTGGGAAGCACCTACAAGATGAGAGTGGATCCATTCAGAGGGAGGAATTGGGGTTGGGGGCGGAGGGAATACAGCAAGAGGCAGGGAGGTTAGAAGCAGGGAGGTTCTAGAAAGGGCAGCAATTTTGGGCAGGGGTGGGAGGAGGTGGATGTTATAACCTTAAACTGCCCTCCTCCCTAGGGCAGGGCCTTGGGAAACTGAGACAGAAGGATTAAATCCCAGTGATGGTACTTGGGACAGTGCAGCCCTTAAGAGCAGGGACTGTGTGCACCCAGCATCTAGCACAGGGACTGGCACATGGGAGGTGCTGAGTAAATGTTTTGTGGGTGGGTGGGTGGATGAATGAATAAGTGGGTGTGTGGGCAGATGGCAGATGGATGGATGGATGGATGGATGGATGGATGGATGGATGGATGGATGGATGGATGGATGGATGGATGGATGGATGGATGGATGGATGGATGGATGGATGGATGGATGGATGGATGGATGGATGGATGGATGGATGGATGGATGGATGGATGGATGGATGGATGGATGGATGGATGGATGGATGGATGGATGGATGGATGGATGGATGGATGGATGGATGGATGGATGGATGGATGGATGGATGGATGGATGGATGGATGGATGGATGGATGGATGGATGGATGGATGGATGGATGGATGGATGGATGGATGGATGGATGGATGGATGGATGGATGGGTGGGTGGATGGATGGATGGATGTGCAGAGAAATCACCTGGCAGCTGCATTTCCCATTTGAGCTTCTCTTGCCGGCGCCATTTGGCTCTTCTGTTGGAAAACCAGACCTGAGGGAGCACAGGGACAATGTAGCTGGATGTGCTTTCTGCCACCTGGCACCTGCTGCTCTCACCACACGTTCCTGGCTTGGACTCCAAATGCAAACCCTTCCTCAGACTTGACGTCCTCTCTCCCTGCTCTGGTCTTTGCTCTCTGTCCTCTTCCTCAACTCAAAGGCTTAGGGTGGGTAAGAGAGAAGAGCACTCAGAAGGAGGGGAACGGGGAGGGTTTCGTCTCTGATTTTTGCTCCTAACAAGTCTGTTTTCACTTTCTTGCCCCTCTCTCCACCTCATCAGAACCCAAGGCCATGGCTGGCAAACTATTCCTCCTGTGGTTTGTGCACACCATGTCACAGAGCTCACTCACCCTCACTGTGTCCTCAGGCAGAGAGGTGGCAGCAGCCAGCTTTCCACGGGCCACTGAATCAGGATACTGCCCACGCTGGAACTCTGCAGAGATTAAGGCTCACATAGTAAGAGCATGGAGAGAGGAGCAAGGCATGGGTCTCCCTCTAAAGCCCCACTCCCCACCAGGTACAACCCCGAACTACCTTCCCTCCCAAGGCAGTGCCTCCCACAATCTGCATCCCTTTGCCTTTGCCCACAGGCTTCAGGGCTGCTGCCTCATGTCACACCAAGGACCCTCTGACCCACCATAAACCCAGCCTTGCACCTTTCTCCAGTGCCTCAGCTTGGCCTTGGGAGAAGATAGTCCGGTTCCTGTGGCCAGTCCCTGGGTGGGGTCCCCGGGGAACCTCAGAGCCACCATGGGGAGTGGGAGGAGCTGGAGCCAAAACAGCTGCAAAGGAGAATAATGGCTTGTGGTGGTTTGTGATGGTGATAACTCTGGCCAGATGGGGTCCCCGAGTCCCTGGGGCTGTGGTCAGGGGACATCATGGATGTAGAGCAGAGCCAAGCTGGTGGGGCATTCACAGTTATTTGGAGGTTACTGCTGGGGTCTTTGGTAGGAAGTGTGCTCAATACCATGGTGGGGTGCACGCTTAGTTTTTGTGGGGGAGACAGCAGTAGAGTTGATCCAAGTATCCCACAGAACATGAAAGATGCTCTGAGAAGCTGTGCATGAGCAGAAGGAGGGTGTGGAAGACCCAACCCTGCCTCTTCCTCAGCACATCCTGCAAACTAGGGCTAGGGGACCTGGATTCTCTTCCAGGACCTGACAATAACTGGCTGCTACCAATAACCTTGGTGACCAGGTTCATTTCCCTGAACTTCAATTTTCTTCTGCCAAGAGATAATAAGACTCGGTGCCAGGCCCTCCTTATTGAGTTATTGTGAGGGTGATCCAAGAAAGAATGAGAACAAGCTTTGAGAACTATAAAATCCTGAGGATTTGGCTCTGATTATCTCCGGAGCCAACTCCAAGACCTACCTGGTGACCTGAGCTGTACCCAGGGCAGTCTCTGGTCCTCCTGTAGTGCCCGTAGTACTCGGTTGATGGAAGAGACCTGGGGGTGTCAGGTGCTAAGTGGGGACATGGTGCACAGACCCAGGGTTGCCCTCTGAGGCTATTCCCGCAATGTCCTTTCTCGCCCTTGTCTCCACCTACACATCATTCCCAAGGGCAGCCTCCTCCCTCTGCCTTCTTATGACCTCTCTCACCATCACCACTTACCAGAAGTGAAACTTACGGGTCAGAAGAGCCCAGAAGCCCTGCCCCCCAGCCTGGGAAGCCCACATTTCCAAGAAAGAAGGGATCCTATTCTCCCCAGACAGCCTATTTGCCAGCCCCAGCATAGGGAGGAGAGGGCACTTACACTGGGAGTCTTGTCCTGGGTGCAAAGCCCTTCAGCACAAAGCTGGCGTTGGATCTCCCAAGCAAAGAGGGCTGGACACTCGCCCTTCAGCTGGGCGATTCGAGCCACCACAGGGGGTGTGGCCAGACGTGGCTTGCTTCCCCCAATACCCTTGGGCTCCAAGACACCTGTGCGGTAGTAGCGCCCTAGGATCTTGCTCACGCAGCCATTAGATACCTGAGTCAGGTGAGAAGCAGGGACAGGTGAGAAATGATGGGCAGAAGGAGGGTGAGTGTCCTTGGAACAGAACAAGTCTACAAGGCAAAGTGAGATTAACTGGATCAGGCCATGGGGTTGAGAGTCCAGCCTCACCTTTGGGGGCCTGAAGCTCCCCTTCCAATCCCCAAGAGAGTCTTCTAGAAAGTAGCCCAAACCCTAAAGGCCCTCAGAGTCAGCAATAGTCCCAGACTCTTGCCTTCAAAGGGGCCCCTTCTCCCTGCTGCTTGTCCCCATCACTGGGTGAAGGTCCTGTCACACTACCTTTAGGCTCCGTGAGATGTCGCACGGCCGCATCCCGCTGACTGCTAGCCTCACAATCTGCTGCCGGGTGTCCAGAGGCAGGGGCCGACCGTTCACAAAGAGCCCCCCCAGCTGATTCATGCTGCTGATCCCTGGGCATGAGAAGAAGGCATCCACACACCACCTCTCCCCACTCACCCACCCACCTGGGCAGAGGGTCACTCAGGCCCCTCCAGCCTGGCTCCCCACCGTAAAGTCCTCTCCCAGTAGACGGCTCCCCCTCTGCTCCCAGGCTCCTCGAAACATGACACTTTGTCTGAGCTGGCTCATGGGTGAATCTTTGCTCCTTGGCCCTATGTACTGACTGTCTTGATCTAAGGGAAAGCAGGGAGGAGCAGGAAGGGAGTCACTGGAAAAAGCTTCCCCCAGAACTTCGGCCAATGGCAGGTGAAACCGTGTTGATGGAAGCAAAGCCGTTAAATACTCCCCTGTCTCCATGCTCCTCCCTGTTCTTACCATTTCTCCCAGCTTCTTACCGTCCTGCTCCATGCTCCGGGACAACCCTCCACAGAAGGACAGGAGGCCACTGGGAAGACTCAGAAGGGGAGTTCCTTCTAAGAGCTCCTTTTCCAGTTTGGGGGCTGAGCCTGCAAAAATAGGGAGTTATTCAGGTGAAGTCTCTTGCTTGGAAGGGTCTTAGGATGTAGTGTTTTGTGATAGAGGGTCAGGTTGCTAAAATTTGCCGGTAGGTTGGCTAAAATTAGAAAATTTGAATTCTCTTTACTTAAACCTTTATGCGATGAACTAAAACATGGCTGGCTGAGGACTGGATCTTTCTGGATGTCTTAATAAGGAGTTGATGAGGGGCATTTTCCACACATCCATTACAGGAGATCAAGAAGGTAGGAAGGAATGATGCTTCCAAAAGCTCAGGCTTTCCCTTTTCCAAATGGACAACTGTTGTCCCTGACCGCTCATGAGTCTTCTCAGCCCTGGCTGATGTACTGGAGCCAGAGAAACCAAGGGGTTCCCGAGTTCAGAGCTCTGCCTTTACTATCAGGCAGTCATGGTTAGGTTCTCCAGACCACCAGTCTGAATGCTTCCTTCAGAGCAATTCAGGGGAAGGGCTTGCTCCTGTTTACACTCTCCAGGAAGTGTCTGGGGAGACCTGGGGCTCAGCTCTACCCCCCAGGCACTGGGGCTTCGGCCCCACACATTGGAAGTAGAAATGAATAAGCTTCTCCTGGAGGACACATCTCTCAGAGGCTACCTTTCTAGGATCAGACACTCGTTTATTCCACTAACATTTGTTGAAGACATATGGAAGGGAGGGAATGACAAGCAGGAGAGGGCTGTCTGCTATCGACACAGAAGCCATGATGAGCACCAGAGAGTCTCTGAGTAGCAAGGGCACAAGTCACGGGCCACCATGGCTTTCCTGCTTTACTCAGCAATGAATGGGAGTTGAAGCAGCTCCTTTCATGCCTGGAACCCTGGCAGGGCTGGAGTTCACCCCAAGGAGCTGCTAATGCATTGAACTTTCCTGTAATAACCATGCCATCTGGGTTCAGTTAACTCATCCACAATTATTTACTAAATAAGATATTGAGCATGAGCACATTTCTGGTTGTTTGGAATGAACGGTCTTTGCTCTTCAACACATTACAGTGCACCCGGGGAGGGGAGACCAGCACAGATCAAACAACAATGAATTGCAAAGAGCATGGAATCCAGAGCCTACTTTTTAAGTTCAGTAGCTAAACTGGCTTTTACTCACTCCTTTATAGGCAGGCAGAGACACATTGATCTTCAAGCTCTCATCTTTACAGAAAGTTGGGAAGGAAGGCAGAGGTTTCTCCAAATAGAAAACTGAAGCACAGATTGGGGTTGCCACAAGTCAGGGGCCAGCCCAAGAGTAAAACCCACAGTTTAGAAGCCAGTTCCTCACCAGAAGCCAAAATTTCTGGCTCCTAATCCTGGGGCTCTCTCTTTCTACTCCCACCCCTGCTTCATGTTTGCGTAATTGCCACCAAAACAATGGAGAGAGGAGAGTCAAGCTGGAAATGAAAAGGGCTATGCCAGGATAGGGGGTGGGAGGAGCTCAGAATATCAGCCAAACCCTGAATCCTGGATAAAACTCTGTCCTCCTAACTGACCAGAGCTCAAAAGAGCTGAGGGGATGCAGGTTTAATATCCAAACCTAAATAGTCTCCAAATCTAAAATCATCATGCCCCAGCTCACAAACAGAAACCCCATTCCCGATAGCCACACCACACATTCCCAATATTCATTTTAACTCTGAAAAAATAACTGGTGCTCACAAAATGGAAAAGCAGGGCAAGGGGTTGAAGAGACAGGAGGGTGGGCAGCTGCAAAGACAGAGGGGGAGAAAAGTTGGGCTTGGCTACACAAAGGCATGGAGACAGCATGGGAGGCAGAGCAGACAATGAACCTGCAGGTGAGCAGCTACCTGAGTGGAGGAAATGAGGTGGGAGCTTCAGTGGGAGGTCTCAGTCTCCTGTGCTGGGCTCCTGAGACCCCTGCAGCCTCCAGGGGTGGTGGTGGTCTGGTCCTGGCAACAGCCTCCACTCTGCTCCTGCTTCAGTCCTGCCAAGGGGTCCAGAGCTACAGAGAGCCCGTGCTCAGGAGCAGAGGGCAGCCTTCTGGGAACAGCCAGTGATGTCACAGGCCATGAGCAGAGGAGAGAGGAGGAGGGAGGTGTGCATGGGCTGACTGACACTGGCCCTGAGGCAGGGCGAACTACAGCCAGTGACCCAGTGTGTCCTTCCATGGGGAGTCCTCAGAGCCACCTCGTGTACTTCCACCCTGACACAAGTACAGAGCCATTCTCATGCAGGCCCCTCACCCCAGAGTGTACCCATGCAGGGGTCAATACTCCTGAAGAGCACAGGGGACATGGAAGATGGGGAGCTTCAGACTGTGTCCCTAGGGCTTTGACTGCACCGAAGTACAAACGTGGCTTCCAGAACTCCCCAGCCAGGATGCACATGCCTGGGCTTTTGAGTCATGTGTGTATTACTACAAAAGATAAATGGATATATAAACTGATGCCTAAATCCTGAGTGAGTTGGCTCCTAAAACTCGGAGAGAATAAGGGAGAATGGAGAAGAGTGTGTGTCGCGTAGCACCAGTCTCCCCAGAGTGTCCTCACCAATTCTCCAATGGGCTCTTTGACTGAGGTGACACAAAAAGTGAGTTCCCACCTGGAAACAGTGGGATTCTGGACTTCGGCACACTGAGTGACAGTGGTTAGAGTCGGTGGGAGTGAGTCTCTGAGGGGAGTCAGAGGCGCGTGGGGCGTTTATAAGTTGCACAGCCTGGCTCTCATGCTTCCTTCTCTAGATGTTATCAGGCTCCGTTCCACTAGAGATTTGGTGCTTTTAGACTCTAAGTCATTAATGACACTGCTGTTCTCACCGAAGACACCACAGGTTATCTGGGTCATTGGTGGGGTGAGGGGTACCTGTAGTGGGTCGATGCTGGAAGTGAAACACAGCCTTCAGCGATGGAGGCTTTATTGCCAAAAAGGTCTTGGGCTGATCCCTCGGGGGTGTGGAGGAGCCTATATGGAAAGTTCTTTGGGTCCGTTCCATGCCTCTGATTCTATGAAACTGTCACAGAAGTCAGGGTGAAATTAGCAGGTTGTGGGGCAATAAGACTGTACCCAGAAGTGAGATGAGGACGGAATGGATTTCATTGGTAAATGCTTTGGGTTTGGGGGAGGTGGGAGTGGGTGATGTGCATTCAGCTTGATCCTAAGGTTGGAAACTCTTGTTCTCAAAGGCCAAATGTATCACAGAAGTGGGTTTTCTGCCTTACCCGGGCAGTACCCGCCTTCTCTTCCAGCCTCCTCCAGCCTTCTTGGGCTGCCCCAGAGCCCTGGGACACAGGGGAGAGTGCAGAAGGCGGTTTCAGCATCACAGGCAGGACAGCACATGCCCCAGTCCCCGTAAAGCCCATTCCATCCCAGGACAGTTGCGGACTGCTGGTCACTCTACCTAGCCATGCCTGGTGGAGAGAAGGACCCCAGGAAGGCATGTGGTAGCCTTACTCTTAGTCCCCCTTTCCTGTCCCATCCCTCCCTCCTGTATCTGCCCCTGCATCTAGGGGCTCAAGGCTCATTTTCTGACCAGCCAGTCCCATAGACAGCTGCATGAGGGTGGAGATAGGGGTGTCAGGGGGGAGAAGGGACAAGCCCTGGCAGATGGTGGTGGCAGTGATTTCCACCATAAACTACCCTCTCCCTCCGCCTTTACAACTTGCTCTTGGGTCTGAACAAACAGAGGCTTTCGACCCAAAGGTGATGGGGGGAGGGAAAAGAGGGAAAAGGCCCTGGCAGGGGGGCCTAGCAAGCCCAAAGGCTCAGCCACTCAGTCCTCTGCCCAGCGCACCAGACTGTTTGTGGAGCAAATATCTGCCTTCACTGTCTGACTCTCTCAACCGCCTCCACCAGGTTTGAGGCTAATTGTCCCTTATTAGCTGGGCTCAGGCCCCAGGCTGCCGCCAGCCCCTGCCATCTGCTCACAATTATACATTAACTCAGAGGTCTTGCCACCCGCCAGCCAGGCTGTGCGCCCCTCTTCAGGACCAGCCACACCATTCCAGCCTGTCTCTCACCCTAAAGTAGAGCCCTGACCACTGGCTTCTTCTGCCCTTGGGAGCCACTGGTAGAAAGCCCCATGACTGTGGAAAAAGTCTTGTCCTCAAGAGAGGTGGCTGGAGTTTCCCTGCCCTCCTCACAGGGTCAGAAGGCGAGCCAAGCTCGTGCGTAAAGCTAGAGGATGGGGCGCGGCCAGCGCAGACACCCGCTGGCCTTGATCTGACACCTCACTGCCGGCTCTTGGCACTTGATGGGGGAGGTGACACCAGTTTCAGGCTGTTTCTACCCTTCCCTATGGTGCCTTTTAGTAGGCTGTGGGGTCCTGGTCCCCACCTTCTCTCTCTCCAGAGAGGTCCATCTCATGCTAGCCCTCAGCTTTCCAGAGCGCACGTGCCACCCGTCCAAACCGGCTCTCTGGTAGCCGGCACCTCCCACTTTAAAGACAAAGTCTTTCCCCTGCCACAAAAACATGGGGGCTCTTCAAGTTCCCTGGATATTTCTGGGCTTAGGACCCTCATGCTAATGTTGCACTCCCCTCCCCACAAAGCTTTATGCAGTCACCCTACTCTCCCAGCCCAGATCATGCTATAACACCAAAACTCTCTCCTCCTACAAATCCCTGCAGCTTTCTGCTCAGCTTCTAGAAGGCTGGCACTCGGCTCCCTCCCTCTGACCGCACCAAGGAGAGAGAGAAGAGCACACCCTCCCAATGGTGGATTTGAACTGGGGGCACAGAAAAAGCTCTCCTTTCCCCCTCTTTTTCACAGTGAGCCCCTAACCTCTGAGCTCAACCTTGCCTCATGTTTCACTCAGGATTAGAGCGGGTCGGATGGGGTGGTGAGTCTGTGCTCCCCTAGACTAACTCCCAGCAGAGCTTGGCAGTTCGGAGGCTACAGCCAAGAGCCCAAGGAGACCAGGTAAGGCAGC